AAACTTAAAAAAAAAAAAAAACAAAATAAGAACCAAAACAAAAAATATTTTTTACTAAAAGCTAAAAAAAAACTTAGAATAGTAAAACTATATTTAATTTTAGTGTAGAATGAATAATAATCAAATATACTAAAAATTTAATAATCAAAATAAAAGAAAGATCACAAAACAAAAATTCAAAACATAACAAAAATTTTTACTAAAAGTAAAAAATAGTTACTTATATGAAAAAAAATCAAATATAATAAAAATTTAATGATCAAAATAAAAAAAATTACAAAACAAGGACTAAAAAAAATAAAATTTTACTAAATTTACTAAATTTAATGGTTAGAGCAAAGAAAAAATACACAAAATAGGAATTATAATAGAAAGAAAAGTTTAACTAAAAGTAAAAAAAAAAAGAAAAAAGTTTAGGATGGTAAACTTTATTTAGTTTTAGTATAGTAAAAATAATTATATCAAACATGATAAAACTTTAATAATTAAAATAATAACATATCACAAAATAATAACAAAAAAAGAACATAAATTTTTACTAAAGGCCAAAAAAATATATTTATTATAGGGATAAAAATAAAATATAATAAATTTTTAATGACCAAAATAAAAAATATTACAAAATAGGGACCAAAATAAAAAATAATTCCCCGAAAGCTTGGCTAAGCAACATCAAAAAAACAAAAAAAAAAAAAAAAAAAAGAAGGGGGAGAACAGTGATATAATGAATTTTTAATAATCAAAATAAAAAATATTATAAAAGAGGGACCAAAATAAAAAAATTCCCTAAAAGCTTTAGCTAAGCAACCGAAAAAAAAAAAAAGACGAACAATGAATTTATAGCACTTTTTTGTTTTCTTTTAGTATTTCTTATAATGTAATTCACAATTTGACCTTACATTGTATCATAAATTACCGACGGGGATTATAATAGTTCTTTATATGAAAAAAAATCAAATATAATAAAATTTTATTGATCAAAATAAAAAACAATTACAAAACAAGGACTAAAACAAAAATAAAATTCTACTAAATTTACTAAATTTAATGGTCAAAGCAAAGAAAAAAACACAAAACAGGAATTATAATAAAAAGAAAAGTTTAACTAAAAGTAAAAAAAAAATTAGGATAGTTAACTTTATTTAGTTTTAGTATAGTAAGAATAAAAATCAAACAAAATAAAACTTTAATAATTAAAATAAAAACATATCACAAAAAAAAGAACAAAAAAAGAACATAAATTTTTACTAAAAGCCAAGAAAAAATATTTAGTATAGGGATAAAAATTAAATATGATAAAATTTTAATATTTATTATAGGGACAAAAATCAAATATAATAAATTTTTAATGATCAAAATAAAAAATATTACAAAATAGGGACCAAAATAAAAAACAATTCCCTAAAAGCTTGGCTAAGCAATAGGAAAACAAAGAAAGGATGGGGTGAACAGTGGTATAATGAATTTTTAATAATCAAAATAAAAAAATATTACAAAATAGGGACCAAAATAAAAAAAATTCCCTAAAAGCTTTGGCTACCCTAAGGGTGAGCATTCGGTTAAAAAGTTCGGTTAAACATAATTCGGTTTGATTTTCGATTAACCGAAGTAGGAAAAATAAAAACCGAAACCGAATCAAAATTAATTCGGTTAATTCGGTTTGTAACCAAATTATTTCGATTCGGTTTTGAAATAATTTGATTTAATCGAACTTTTTCATTACTTCTCCATTTCAAACTTTAGATAGTTCTCCCAAAACTTCCATTTATTTTTTCTTTGCCTAAGCTCGAGTAATTAGCAATGCCAAGCTAACAAGTAGCCACTTTCTTTTCTAAAACGGATTCAACACCAAAAAAAAAAAAAAATTCACAATTAAAGTCAAATTTAAACACCCAACATGTTTAACATTCATATATCGAAAAAGGAAATAAGTTATGCAAAACAATTGGTGGCAAAACAAAGATCCGGATACAATACAATCAACATTAAACAAAGAAAAGCATGATAGAATGTCCGTTCTCATTTCTCAACAAAGAGGATGAGACACGAGCTCTCTTCATGTCCTAAACCAAATGATTTTTGTGCATTTGCAATACCTTCACTCCTTCAGGATCCGCAATAGAATGAAATCCTAACAAACACTCAGTACTCTTGAAAGAGGATATTAACATGCTACGAAAATCAAAGGCGAGTAGGCCTACCGCCCACCGTCGCAGGCACCGAGGTAGTAGGCTACCGCCTACCGTGGTTCTCTTCTCTAGTTCAATGAAAACAAAAATGAAAATGAAAATTTACAATTCTCACTTACCGACTAAATTTGCACAAACAACTGAAATTAAAAATCAAACTTAAAAAGTAGAAACTTAGTAACTTACACATAGTCACATACCATTTATCAAGCCAAAACACCATCAAGTCATCAACCTATCAAGATTCAAGCATTTGTAGTAGAGGTAGTGGCAAGTGGTAACTCTGAAAATTATAAGATAAAAAAATTAAACTTTTAACATCAATATAGAGGAAAGAAATAACAAATGAAAAGGTAAGAGTTATAGAAATTACCATCTTGTATTTTCTCAACATCTTGTAAATTTTATTGAATAATAATTAGTGTCGATAAATTTTTAATCCAATCTTGAGCACATATAAGAGATTTCATTAAGCTATGAGTCAAAGAACTCCTAAAGTAGTCAAGAACCCTTCCTCCAAGTGCTAAATGTCGATTCCGAGAAAACGAGTAGAAACAGAAACCACCAATACATCCCTAGCCATTTGTGAAAGGATGGGAAACCGAGGAGAATTGGTTTTTCATCATTCTAAAATATTAAAATCAGCACTATTATTTTCAGCACCTTCACTAAGATATTTATCCAACTCCGTTTTATTTCCTCCACCTCCAATATCACACTTGTATTTTTCAAAACGCATCATTATCTCCCTTTTTATTCTAATTTCTTCTTCATCAATCATTTCTTCATTTGCACAACCCACATCTATTTCCCGACTCCCACTACCTTGGCCAATTTCATCTTGAGATGTTGACGAACGACAATAGAAATCATACATAGCATACATAGATTCCTTGACAATATTTGACATTCTTTGACCCTCCAAATCACCATACAATTCATTGATTGAAAATTCAATAAATACAAGTTTATGCCTAGGATCAAGTATTGTCGTAATATAAATCAACTTATTCATTTTCTTAATATCCTCTCAATACTTCTCAAACTTTTCTTTCATTTTATTGGCCAACGTAAAATCATCTAAATCCCCACTTCGTTGCCATTTTTTCAAAACATGTTCGAGAGCATAAATCTCTTCAAAATAAATATTTGAAGTCACATACAAAGAACCTGAAATACGCAAAGTGAGATTGTAAAAAATTTTCAACATGCCCACCAACTTCTTACAAGACTTCCAATCATCAACATTAGGTGGCCCAACAACATTATCACCATGATCTACATCAAATTCACTCCTATATAAAGGATCAATTTGCTCATATCTCTTAAAAGCTCTCTCAAACTTTAGAGCCGACTCTAACATCAAGTATGTTGAATTCCACCTAGTAGCAACATCTAGTTGTAACAAACTCCTAGAATCAATTTTCTCAAGTTGAATGCATTCCTTAAATCTTTTCAACCTAGTTGGAGATTGCCTCACAAACCTAACGGCCGATCGAATACGAACGATTGAAGGATTAAAATGTTTTAACCCATCAACAACAACTAGATTCAAAGTATGTGCCATACACCTCATATGAATGAATTCACCATCTAAGATGCTATAACCCCAATTCTTAATCACATCTTTTAAGTGCCTAATTGCCACATCATTCGAACTCGCATTATCAACCGTAACACTAAAAACCTTCTCAATTCCCCAATCAATCAAGCATTTCTCAATGGCAATACCTAAATCTACTCCCTTATGACTATCAATCGGACAAAAATTCAAGATCTTTTTATGCAACTTCCAATCATTATCAATAAAATGAGCCGTTAAACACATGTAATTGATTCTTTGAATAGATGTCCATGTGTCCAGTAGTAAGGCTAATTCTTTGACTATTTTGTTTCAAAAATTGCTTCAACTTTATTTTCTCATCTAAATAAATTTGATAGCAATCTCTTGAAATTGTAAAACGAGATGGAAGCTTGAATCTAGGTTGCAAATTAGATAAAAACTTTTTGAATCCCCTACCCTCTATATGCTTAAATGGAAGCTCATCTAGAATGATCATTTCAGCTAAATCTTTTCTACTAACATTTTGATCAAACTTCCATGTGGTAAGATTGTTTTCTCCTACTTCAAGCTTTCTTAGGTCTAATTGAGTTTGGGTAGAGTCAATACAACTAAAAGGGTTTTTTTTGCAAGTCAAAACATGAGACCTAAGTGAAGTTGTCCCATTTTTTGAAGGATCACAAGCAAATACCTTATCACAATAGTTACATTTAGCCTTCATGTTTTTCTTGTCATCTTCAAACTTTGTGAAATGATCCCACACCATTGATCTTGGCTTCATTGATTTCCTCTTCTTTTCTTTGTCACCATCTTGAGTGTTACTTGGAGTTGCACTTGATTGTGAATTAGGATTGCATGAATCCATATTTTCATAATTCATCTCTACGGATTGAGATTGTGACATCTACACAAAAACATAGAAAAAGAGTATTAAGCTTCACACTCCTTAAGCTTAAGCCAAAAAAAAAAAAAATATCTAGCTAGGCATGAGGCACGAAGGCGGTAGGCCTCATCGCTACTAGCGATAGGATTATCGCGGCACTCGCTAGTAGGCCTACTACCTGTTGGCACCAAGGCGGTAGGCCTATCGCCAGCATCGTGGCACTACCTAGTGCCTACTTGAAACAATGAACCAAGCTTGTCTATTTACTCTTTATTTATTGTTATTTGTTAATTCATGTTAAATATCAAGCAATCCTTCTCACATAATAAACAAGACTATCATCAAGTTGACTTACGTATAATCGAAAATGAGATCGAATAACTCGAGTGGGTGCCACGTGAAGAAGTCTACCTTTAAGAATGTAAAGTAACTTGAATTTGTTAATGAGGAAAAAAGTTGTTTCAAAATTTAAAAAGAGAGAATTAATATTAGTAGCAAACACAAGCACCTACCTCAAATAGAAGTCTTTGAATGATTGTTATGGACATTATCGACCTTTTACCTTAAAATATCTTATAACTAATTTATAGTCTTTGAATCATTGTTATGGACATCATCAGTCTTTTACCTTAAAATATCTTATGACCAATTTATAGGAGTCCCATAAAACTAGATGACCATTCCTTTTTCTTTTCTTAATTTGTTTTTTGCCTAAGTATCACCATTGTGAGGATAGATAAATGAAGTATTAATCTTCTCAAAGTTATACAGAATCAAACTCTACAAAAAAGAACCTCCATTAACCGAAAAAAAAACCTTTGAAATGTAATAAATGTAAAGAAATTTTCCATTTGTTACCATTACCAAATATTCCACAAAATACAATCTTTTGGCTTCTTTAGAACCGCTTATTAAAGCATCTTGTTCTACTTTAAGTTCAGGAATTTAATAGCTTAAGCGATCATAAACCCATAATAGACCTAAATATTCTCCACCGAATAAGAAAATTAAGAATCACTCTTATTATTGTTTTCATTATCCTCTTAAAGACAGATTCCAAGCTTTGCAAAACTTAAACAATTCCAAAAAAATAAAGACGAGCATACCGATAGGCACAAGCGAATATATCAAAATTAAAAAGAAAAAAAACTCAACACCGATCGATCAAACTCATATAAGAAAAAAAATCTGAACGCATAAAGAGAAGTTAATTTTATAGTAATCATAAGTACCTAGATGTTAAAATTAACACTAAATATTGACATAATTACCTCTAATCTCCAATACTAAAAATATCTAACAAAATCAAGACAACAAGACCGATCAAAATATCCGAACACTCCCAACGCATAAACCAAATCATCAATTGAAGAACACAACTTCTAAGCTAACCCTATGTTTAAGGCGTAATTACCTCTAATCTCCAATACCAAAAATATCCAACAATAATTGCATTGTGAATCCGTGATATTGATTTTCTATGTAATTAAATAAATCACTAAGAAATTAAGGCATAATTAATTAAGTTTATGCACCTTGACCGATGAGAATGACCGTGACCGTGACTCTCGAGTCTACGAGGCGTGACTCGTGAGATCGACAACGGGTGAGCAACCGGAGCTTGGAGCTTGGAGCTTGGAGGACCGGCTAGGACCGCCACTCGAAGGAGTAGAGTGGAAACTAAGAGTGCAGGATAGGAGGAGAACCGAAGAAGGGAATAAAGCCAAAATCGAAGGCCGAAAGAAAGACGAAGATCTAATAGTTGAAGACTCGAAGTCGATAGAGTGAGAGACGAGAGCGAGACCGAGTCGAGAGAGATGAAGAGCAAGATCCGAGTGAGGAGTGACTTGAGTGAGGACCGAGAGAGTGAGAGAGGACGCGATCACACATGCAAACGCTAGACGCCCGGACGCAGGTGAGCCGGCCGACGCTTAGGGAGTTAGGGTTAGGGATTTGCCGATTTGGTATTTGGAAATACAAAATTAGAATTAGAATCAATTTAGGAATAAATTTCGATTTTCGGTTTGAACCAAATTTTTCTTTTTCAAAAACCGAATCGAACGAAATAAATTTCGGTTTTTCGATTTGGTTATAAATGGTAAATTTTAAAATTAAAAACCAAACCAAATTTTATAATTCGGTTCGGTTGTATTCGGTTTTCGATTAACCGAACCGTTTGCTCACCCCTAGGCTATGCAACCGAAAAAAAAAAAAAAAAAGACAAACAGTGAATGTACAATACTTTTTTGTTTTCTTTTAGTATTTCTTATAATGTAATTCACGAGCTTTGACCTTACATTGTATCATATATTACCGACTATATCTCTTTTATTTATTGTATTCAAATCTTAAAATTAGTATCTAATATAATTTATTTTTTAAAATATATCAAATTAATGCAAGAGGTTTATTTTTTAAATATATTATTTGTTGAATATATCAAATCAATGCAAGAGATTTATTTTGATCAATGTGTAAATACATCCATCAAAAATAAAATTCGTATTAACGATGGTAATTTACATGTCACCACTATGTAAGCTAAGGCGGCTTCACTTCATGAAGAACATATATTAGATGTATATCTCATTGTTTTACCAAGCTCCGTAATAAAGAATTTTATAACATGTTCAGTGCGTAAATTTTCTAATTCTTCTTATTCGAGTATATAATTTTATTTTATTTTAAGTTTAAGATTGTCACTTTTTGCTATTTGAATGATTTTATTAACTTTCATAGTAATATTGATATGACTATTAACAATACACCTGATACCACTTTTATCGAAAGGGTAAGAGAAAAAAATTGAAAAAGAAAAAGAAGAACCGAATTCAAAGGGCTTTAAGCATATCTTCAGCTCCACTGGAAATAATAGCTCGTCCTTTCCTTTATGAACAAAATGGTGAATAGAAACCAAAGGCAAGTAACCAATGACGATAAAATCTATCAGGAAAACAGAAGAAAACTTATAAAGGCAGCAACAGCAATGGCATCAACACCAGAAATCCAACCAAATGTAGCAAGTCCAGTTATCGTAAATCCAAACACAACTGAATCATCAGTATTGAGTTCGATAATGTATGACAGCAACTTCAAGCCTTCAACATCAATTATTTAATCCCAGCACCAGCCTTAGTAGACAGAAGACAAAAAATAGCAGCAGCACAGTTGAATCAACACAAGTGAAGTTTGGCAGATCAAGTAAGCTCAGATCAAAACTCAAACCGCAGCAACAGTTTTGAAAGAGAAAATAAATAACAGCAGCATAACAGTATTTTGACAGAGATACTAACCACTAAAGGTAGTCTTCAAATCATAAATTCAGCATCCAAAGCAAATAAAGAACAGATTCAGAGAGCATATATATATATACACCAATGACTTGCCATTCAACGCCAAGCAAAAAGATCAGAGTCTCGCAGAGCACCTAGCTGGTTTTGCAGGATTATCTGCCATATGATTACCCTCTCGAAGAACATGAGAGAGCGAAAATGATCCCAACCTCCTAATAAACAATTTGTGAAATTTTCATGGCCTAATTGTTGGCTTTATCATCCAATTAATCACAATACTGGAATCAGACTCAACGATGAAATTGGCACCAATCAAATCATCTCTAGAAGCTGATAATTCCATGCATGGCTTTGACCATAGCTAACAACTCAGCCACATTAGCATTTTTTATCCCCACCGAAGTAGAGAATAAACATAGAACTTGCCATGCATGGTTCTGAAGGACTCCTCTAAAACCTGCAGAACCAGGATTTTCAAAAGAGAAGCCATCCGTGTTCCACTTAAACCACTTCCTCCAAATTAAGAACCTTGACAATCCCATCTTCAGCCAACAACGCATGCCTACGGACCTCACTCCTAACCCCACTAGCTTATCACTCAATCCAACTCACACTCAATTACCTTTGTAAAATCCCAATACCCATCACTCAAAAGCAGCACTACATCATCTTTGATTCCCAATTTCTCCTTCCATGCTCTCCTCACAAACGCATTGCTGATTGATATACGTGATGTTAGAAGAGGCTTTGATAATCTGAAATTCTGCTCACCCTCTTTTTTTCATGTCATAAAGACTTACATAGATATATATAACAACAACTTGACTCTTGAAAATACCAAAATACATTGAACATAAACTTCTCATAAAGTTTCATAAAATACTAAAAGACTTCTTAAATAAAACTCTAAAATCAAGTTTATTTTTCCAACACTCCTCCTTAAACTTGAATTTTAGTTACACCAAGCCGTGCTCTTAATTTGGAAAAATCTTCAAACTTCAATGCCTTGATGAAAATATCAACAACTTGGTCTTAAGACTTCACATATATAAGCTGCACTTACTTTCTGCTGATGCTTTCTCTGATAAAATGAAACCCAGTGTCAATATGCTTGCTCCTATCATGAAAAATAGGATTCCTGCTCAATGCTATTGTTGATTTATTATCAACAAAATTTTCAGTAGCTTCTTCCTACGGCATATGTAATATTTCCAGTAACTTCCTTAGCCAAATAGCATGACAAACACATGCGGTAGCAGCTACATATTCAGATTCACAAGTTGAGAGGGTCACAACTGATTGTTTTTCCGAACTCCAAGTGAATGCAGTTTCACCAACACAAAATAGAAAACCTATCGTGCTCTTTCGATCATCCATATCTCCTCCCCAATCACTGTCACTATATCCAACCAAGCTGAAATTATTAGAAACAGAATAAAACAAACCATACTCTATTGTTCCTTTCACATATCGTAAAATTCTTTTAGCAGCTTTCATATGCAAAGAAGTTGGTGTCTCCATATAACGACTGATGAGCCCAACACCATACAGGATATCTGGCCTGGTACATGTCAAAAATCTCAAACTTCCAGTAAGCTTTCTCAACAAAGTTGGATTTACCTTTTCACTGTTATCGTATCTTGTCAGCTTGGTGCCACATTCAATAGGCGTAGCTACAGATTGACAATTTTCCATGGTGAACTCTTTCATAATTTTTTCTGCAAAACTCTTTTGAGAAACAAAAATATCTTCATCAGATTGTTTCACTTCAATCCCAAGATAGTATGACATAAGCCCGATATCAGTCATATCAAATTCTTCAGCCATCTCCTTTTTAAATTCTTCAATCATTAATGGACTATTTCCTGTAAAGATTAGATCATCAATGTACAAACATCCAATCAACATATTTTCATTTTCCTTTACCTTAACATAAAGGCCATATTCATGAGGAAACTTTGTGAATTCTTTCTTCTGAAAACAATCATCAATTCGACTATTCCAAGCTCTTGGAGCCTGCTTTAATCCACACAACACCTTCTTCAGCTTCAAGACCTTGTTCTCCTGCCCCTTAACAACGCAGCCTAATGGTTGTTCAACATACACCTCTTCTTCTAAGTGTCCATTCAAAAAAGCTGATTTTATATCCATCTGAAAAATTCTCCAATTGTGTTGAGCTGCTAATGCAATGATCAAGCGGATTGTCTCCAAACGAGCAACTGGTGCCAAAACTTCATCATAGTCAATGCCGGGCTTTTGGCTGAATCCTCTTGCAACAAGTCGAGCTTTGTACTTCTCCACCTCTCTTTTTTCATTTTTCTTGACTTTGTAAATCCACTTCACTCCTACAGCTTGTTTCCCTGCTGGAAGAGTTGATAACTCCCATGTGTCATTTTTCTGAATTGCTTGCATTTCTTCATTCATCGCATTTCTCCATTTTTCTTCTTGTATTGCTTCCTCAAAATTTATAGACTCTGAATCTGCAAACAAATAATAAAGAGCTAAATCATTAATTTCTTCATTCTCTGCATAAATATCTTGCAGACTCTTCATCCTTCGTGGTCTTTCAGAGGAGCTTTGAGGAGTCAAAACATTATGAGCTTGGGCTGGAGTTTCAGGTGGTGTCAAAATCTGCTCTTCAATTTTCCTTTAATCAGAATGACTATCAAATAGTGGAAAGAAATTATAATCTTCATCCCGATTATCGACGTCGGCCATCGCGAGAGGAAGGGGCCGAATCAAAGGAGTCGCCACCTAGCTAATCAAAGAGAACTAGGAAACCCTAAACATACTGATCTACATGGATATCCGGATAAGGAGTCGGTTACATATGGAGAAGACATGTCATCACCACCATCCCGTCCTACTTAAGATAGGCTGCATCGTTTGTCTATGAATGTAAAAATCTAGTTTTTATCATGTTATGCTTTTATACCTATTAAATGAGTTTATCTTGTAAAAATATGAGATAGGGTGGCTTGAATATAAAACATGGATAGTTTGGACGTTCGAGCTGGTCCAAGGCTAATATTTTCTACCCAAATGGAATATAGGTAAAAAATGAGAATTTCGGCTAGTCATTAGCGAACATAACTTATTATTGACAATAGACAAGTTTCTAAAGATAAATAGCTTTTTATTGGCATGAGCAACGAGTCACCAACGACTTCGCTCACACAAGTGGGAAGCCACCGACTACTTCGAGTCACGCATTTAAGAAGTTATCGATAACTTCGACACGAAGTGGGCATGAAATATGTTATGGTGAAACTAACTGAATTTTTTCAAACTTCTACTCTGAATGGCTGATATAAAATTAAAAATCCAGTTGTTGATGTTGAGGAAATTTATGCAGGGTTACCGGTGCTGATGACATTTCAGTGAAGATTACACACCGCGGAATATGTTATGGTGATGTAATTTATACCAGGAACAAACACGTACGGAGACTCAAAATATCCTGTAGTTCCAGGGTATGCAGTTCGCGTTTACAATTAAAATGACATACTGTAATGTAGGTTTAATTTTATTTTTATTATTATTTTTTTTTTGTCTCTTTTAGTATTGTTAATTTCTTCATGGTTTTTGCATCTTATAGACATGAGATTGTTGGAATCGTGCAAGAAGTTGGCTCCCATGTCCACCGGTTCAAAATCGGTGACCCCATTGGAGTTGGAACATATATTAATTCATGCAGAAATTGTGATGAATGTAATGGAGGACTAGAAGTGCAGTGTCCAGATGGAATGGTTCCCACAATTAATGCTGTTGATGTAGATGGTACCATCACAAAATGAGGATACTCAAGTTTCATTGTTGTTCATGAAAGGTTGCGAGCATGTAAAATAAAATATCAGTACATAAATTGCTTTTCTGTTAACCTTATGATCTTTCCCAGCTGATGACTAATACTTTCTTGAACAGGTACTGCTATAAGATACCTGATAACTACCCGTTAGCTCTAGCAGCACCTTTACTTTGTTCAGGAATTACTGTTTACACTCCCATGATTCACCACAAGATGAACCAACCTGGTAAATCTCTAGGGGTGATTGGGCTAGGAGGCCTTGGTCACATGGCAGTGCAGTTTGGCAAAGCTTTTGGACTAAATGTAACAGTTTTCAGTACAAGTATATCCAAGAAAGAGGAAGCCTTGAATGTCCTTGGAGCTGACAAATTTGTTGTCACAACTGAGGAGGAAGAAATGAAGGTAAAAACCCCTGTTAAAAATGTTTCACAGGAGAGAAATTTTGAGGTAATATTGGGATTCCGGATTTCATTAATAACCAATAATTTTTTTGGCCAATAGGCCTTGTCTTGATCTTTGGACTTCATAATTGACTCAGCATCTGGGAATCACCCATTTGATCCATACGTGTCCCTCTTGAAGACAAATGGCATCTTGGTCTTGGTGGACTATCCAAAAGATGTTAGACTCGATCCTCTGAGTCTTTTTACAGGTATTTTAGAACTTCATTTCCTATTTTTAATGATTGTGAAAATTATATATATTACTGCAATTAATGCTTGCATTAGATTGTACCAGGTATCAGATCTATTACTGGAGGTTTTACTGGTGGGACGAAATTGACACAAGAAATGTTGGAGTTTTGTGATGCCGACAAAATATATCCGGAGATTGAAGTAATACCAATTGAATATGCTTACGAAGCTTTTGAGAGGATGTTAAAGGGGGATATCAAGTACCGATTTGTTATTGACATTGAGAACTCTTTAAAGTGAAGCCGTGAGAGCATAGAAAAAGAAGAGTATGGTTTTGACCATCCTCATATTTGTATTGACTGGAGTGATTGAATACATTTCTTTTTTAAGGGAGTGACTAAATAAATTGGAGAGGAGATAATACTGTTTTTTCACTATCGTTATTAATATTTTAAAGCAGAGTTTATTTCCCTAAGTTTTGAATAAATAATCGAGAAATATTGATGGAATGGTAAAAATATGTATTTTTTATTTGTGTGGGGGATTTGATTTTCATCATTGGAAAATTTCTTTTTTTTTTCTCTCTTTATGTGACACTTGACATGGATTGATATATGTTCAAATAGTTCACTATTTATCATTGGATGATAAATCGAGGATGGAAAGGGGTGAAAAGTTAACGTTGAGAATTGAAGGAGCATAAGGAAGTTGGCAGTATGATAAATGTAATTCTACCAAAGAAGGGAGTGTGCTTATCACCTCCAACCAATTAAGGACCTTACCAAGAGGCACAAGACTCAAATCAAGAAATTCTAGTGAAGAAAGTCCAGAAAGCCAATTTAAATTCTCAACGTTGAACTGAGAATTATAATCATGGAGATTAAGGTAATGAAGATTTGAGAGATTTCCTAATTGATGAGGAATCATACCTGAAAATCCAACATCAGAGAGGTCAAGGTGTTTTAAGATCCCCATCGAGCCAAAGAATTTGGGAATTTGAATTCCTTGGAAGTCATTGTCGCTCAGGTCCAAGTACCTCATATGCTTCAAGCTGAGCAGAGAAGGATTGATCTTACCACTGAAGATTAGCCTCAAATAATCATCATAGTTAGTGGAAGCCCCACTTGAAGCAAGATAGTGTTCGAAAGAAAGGCCTCTAAGGCGGAGCTCAATGACATGGCCAGTTACATTGTCACAAATGACTCCCGCCATGTACAGCAATCCCCAACACCATCCCAAGAGGCAAGACGGTTTGAAGGGTCTTTGAGATCATGCTTGAACTTTAAAAGTGCATCTCTCTCAATCCGGCAGCCACGGCCTCCTGTAAAGCTTCCAGAGTTGAAGCCAAGACTAATGGTTGCTACAAGGAGCAAGGAAAGGAGAAGAATTGTAACGGGAATTGAACTCATTGATCTTTTTAGTATCATACCTTGTTAAAGCTAAGGTGTTGACTATGGAGTAATGGGATGGATCGAACTTCTCTAATGAGGTGATATTTATAGTTTCTTCCATTTATTGTTTCACCAAATAAACCAATTTATTTGAATTAATTTTAAAATAATTTTTTATTTATTAAATATGACACCATTTCAGAAGGAATTTTTTTAAGATTATTATATATTTGGTATGCGAATTTTTTTTTTAATAAAGTGTTTCTATTATATTCATTATGACTATGTCATTAAATTGACATATCAACATGTTTACTCGTTCATCATATAAATATAAATATTTTCTTTTATTTCTAATCGAGTGTTTATATTTATATATATATATTTTATATATTTGAGTGTTTGTACTTTTAAAAAATAAATTAATTAGTGTTATTTATTTTGAAATTTAACGAATATCCACTTTACAATCTTATTTAGACCATATTTGGACCAAATTAATTGAAATTAAAAATAAAACAACAAAACACATAAAAATTTATTCAAATTAAAAGAACTTAATTATAAAAAATAAAAAAATAAATTCGTGTTGTCTATAACTGAATAAGTAAGAAAATAAAAAACAAATAAGCCAACAAAAAAGAAATTGAGTAATTTGATTTTTTTAAATTCGACAAGTCATATTTTATTTTTATTTTTTAAAAAATGAATAGATTGTTATTATTTATTGTTTTAATTTTTAATTTTATTTAAGTTGTTCAAAATATACCTTAAATAAATTTGCAAAGTAGATATTCATTACATTTTAAAATTAATAGCAATCATCATTAAATTTTTAAAAATACATGCAAGGCAATAGGAAAAACAAAAGTATATAAACTCAAATTGAAAAATAAAAATTACATACCTTCAAATAGAAAAAATAAAAACACATAAATTCAATTAAAAATAAACTAAAATATTCATACTTATGTGGTGGATATATGAGTGTGCTAGCGTATCAATTTAATGGCTACATCAATATAAATCTTACAAAAACATTTGATTAAAAAAATTAAAGATTCACACACTCAAATAAAAAAATAAAAATTAAGATATTCGAATATATATATATATTGAAAAGTTTGCATAATAAATATGTAATAATCTTTTCTTTCAATAAAAGCTGCAAAATTGAAGAGTTTTGGTCAGAATCAACTGCCACGTCTACATAAAAAAGGAAAAACTGATTAAAACTTTTGGCAAATGTACTTGATTTGTAAAAATTGATATACTAAATTGGTAATTATAATTAAAGTGCATAGACCCTATTAATGAGAAGTGAAAAACTGGTCGGGAAAGGTCTAGGATAGCTAGCAAGCCAACGTGCTGTTGTCTAATTAGTTTCAACCCCAACAAAAAGTTAAAAAGAGTTTTTTTTTCCTAATAATTTTAAAATTTATTTCTTATGACAAGATACTTTCAAACTTAATTACTAAAATAGGTTTTTTTTTTAATCACATAAGCATCAAATTTACATGCTAGATATATTTTAATTCCATATAAGCAGTATTTTTGAAAAATAGAACCATGAAATAGTGAAAAGTGTCACGCTAAAATCTTAGAAACCAATATAAAATACTGTTTATCTTAAGAATTATAAAAATGCAGTCGCCTAAGACTAATAGTAGGAGGAAGCACTACTGGTTAAAACTAAAAAACCGAATCAAATCGAAATGAATTAGCAATTTTGATTCGGTTTTATATAAAAAAAAATTAAAAAAAAATGAAATCGAAAACCAAAATTATTTTGGTTCGACTCTTTTTTAAAAAAAATTCGATTTCCACCAAAAACCAAATTAGTATTTTTTTAAAAAAAACACACACACCCAAGCTTTTTAAAAAATAAAAATAAAAGAGGCACCTCTAGATTTAACCAAAAGAATAATAGCATTAGTGGTTTTTTTTTCCTATTTAAAATGAAAATATTTTACATTAATTATTTGTTAAAATAATAAAATAATTGATTATATTATATTGACTTCCAAACAAATATTGAAATAATAAAATAATTTATCATAAAAGGATTTGATTCAATTATATAATTTTTCTCATTTGGCTTGCAATTCTCATTCAACTCTCAATCTTTTTTTAATAAAGTTGGATTAAAGAAGTAGAAAAAGGTCGTCACAAATCCAAATTCATTCACCGAATCTCATTATTTAGTGGGTGGGCAAACAATATAATTAAGCAGACAATTCTGTGGCTTCTCAATAAAAACTAGACTCAAATCAAACTTCTTCACTTTTAATATCTAACTAGTAGATGGTCTCATGATAATTAATATTGAATTATTTATGATTTAGTATCCATTTATTATCATCAAGAACCGAAAAAAGGAAATTTTCATTTTTCACATGTTGTTCACACTTTGGTCCGCTAGTTAGAATTAACTTATCTTTATAAATTATAATCTAAACAAGTGATCCCTTCAAAAAAGAAATGAAAAAAAAAACAATTACTATTAAAAACAATACTCAATTACTATGCAAGTTTGATATTTTTTTAAAGGAATTAATTTAGTTAATTTTTAGAAGAAAAGATGCAAAAAAAAAAATGATTTTTAACTAAAAAACCTAATAAAAATTTTGGTTTTTTAATAAAAAAACTGAATTTCAATTCGGTTTGGTTTCGATTTTTGTTTTACTCAATTCGATTAATCAAAACCAAAAGAAACCAAAACCGAACCGAAAACTCGAATGATTATCCCTAATAATAGGTATTGGATATCTTCGTTTTCGTAGGTCACTTATTGGCTGAGAATTTTATTCTTATATGTATTTAAAGACATCAATTTTTTTTTTAAAAAAAAAACCAAATTATTTTAAAAGTACTACCACAACCATTACCTTTTTCACCTCTCTTCAATTCTTACAGAATAAAAATAAAAGATAAAAATAAAATTATTTGAATAACAAAAACTTTTGTTATTCAGGGGTGTCTTTATATATATATATATATATATATATATATATATATAGACAGAATTCATGCTTCGGTATATAGTTATAATTATTAAACATAGACCAATGGAATTAATTATGGTTTCGACGAGTTCTGGAAAATAAAAATTTCCAGTTCATGGAGAATGTATGTGAAGAATAATCTCTCTCTTTCAAAAGTTCTTCTTGTCCCCACCATCCCCCACCACCCCGGCGGCGGTCTTTTCCTGATAGAAATTTGAAATTCGCATTTTGGAGTCTCAAAATGCTTGTTTGATACGTTAGATTGGGACCGTTGAGTCTTGTCCATATTTCTCACGATAGACCTATGGATGTGATTAGGCAAAGATTTCTTGAGACTTATATTTTTTTGGGCATTAGACGAGGTAAAAAGTATATTTTCCAATTTAGTGGAAAACAGACGTCAAGAGAATTTTTTTTACTTTTATTTATTTTTTGGTGTTTCGTGTCTATTCTGTAATTTTATTTTATTTTTTTTTCTGTATTGATTTACTGTTTGAGACATTATCGAATCAGTTTTAATGCATAAAATTTTTTGCTTTTTTTTTATTAATTTCTAAAAGTTTTTTTTTCACGTAATCTTTTTTTTTTCATTTATGAAAGATTTTTTGACATTATATTTTTTAAAATATTCTAAATGATAATATACAGGGAAAAACAAACACTCTAAGCGTCAACAATTTGATTGATATAAAAGGGTGGATTTTCTGTTTCTGAAAATAGCTTGTTTGATCCGTTAGACTTCATATTTATGTCTATTCTATGGGTGAGTAATGTGGTCCATTGTATATTGAACCAATGGTCAGCAAATGTGAAGTGGACAATCAGAAGCCAGCAGTTCTTCGTCATGCACAGAAATGTCAACAAAAAGCAACACGGGAGAAAGATTTTTCCAAGACAGACTCACTTTTTCTTGTCGCTGCCCAATTTTCACGGAACTCTCAAAATTTAATATTTATGATTTATTCATATTATAAATTTTTATTTATTTAAGGATGTGAGTTATTATTTTTAGAATTATCACCTAATATTAAAGAAATTAAAAACTTAAAACAAATATTAATTCAGAAATTCATGAGTAAAAAATTAATTATGTATTTAGAAAGACATCGATCATTCAAATACATATTACTTAAGAAAATGTATAACATCTAATTTAGTGTTAAAGTTTATCTCTTAGAAAATATTTATTTTTGTTGAGATTAATCCTAGTCCAAATTTCAAGTTTTATTGTCGATGTCAAACTAAATTTTTTATTTTTACTCATGGTATTTTGTTGAATCAATCATCGAACCCATCCGTCGGATGTCTCATCGATTCAAAATCAGATCCAAGTTAAAATATTAGCATAACTAGTATGGCATAGAACAATCTAATTACTAAATATGATTGATTTTGCTTAACACCAGTCTCTATTGAATAAGTGATTTTGTTAATTTTTTTCTTAGTGTTTTCTATGTGTTTTTGCTTTTCTTTTTCTTTTTCTTTTCTAGCATTGCTCTTACTTTTTAGCTTTTAAAGCATAAAAAAATTTGGCCTTTTTTAATTCATTTTTGAAAGTTTTTTTTTTCACGTAATCTTTTTTTTATTAATTTATGAAAAAAATTTTGACGTAATTTTTAAAAAAATATTCTTGATGATAATATATGCGGAAAAACAAACACTCTGAGCGTCATCAATTTGATTGATATAAAAAGGTGGATTTTCTGTTTCTGAAAATAGCTTGTTTGATCCGTTAGACTTTATGGTTAGACTTTTATGTTTACGTCTATTCCATGGGCGAGTAATGTGATTCATAGTATACTTGACCAACCGTCAACAAATTCAAGTGGACAATCAAAAGCCAGAAGTTCTTCATCGTGCACAGAAATGTCAACAAAAAGCAACACGGAGGGAGATTTTTCCAAGGCAAACTCATCTTTCTGTCTTTTTTTTTCTTTCTACAAGTCGTGATCTGATCTCGCTGTCTGTTAGATTTTGGATCAGGGGCGGAGTCGTGATAATTTTCTAAGGGGG